TTTTTTTTTTTTTTTTTTTTTTTTTAAATGGAGCAGACATTTACTGAACATACTGCCTATTAAATGTGTGTGTCTGGGGCAGAAGATTATGTGTGATGGGAGGGTCGCGGGCAGCACGAGAGCAGGCTGAGCCCCAGAGCCAAACTGTGCATACAGAGGGCTGACATTTCGAACCACCTTCATGTGACCTTCAGAAATATCCTCAGATCCTCGTGGCCGTCCTCACCATGCTGGCGGGGTACGTCACCAACGGAGAGGAAATCCCTTAGCTTAGCGATTTCAAACGGAAAAGCGAGCTTCAAGCCCTGCTTCGCTCAAGAGTCCAACGGCCTTCCCCACATGTGATGATTAAACTACCAGGTCGGCTCAGGGACTGTTGCCCTCAACTTAAGCTGGACGACCACAGCTTTGGCGTTAACCCTGCTCACCATACCCTGAGGAACAGGGTGCTAACGGTGAACATCTATCCCAGGACCCAGAATGACGTCAGTTGTCCACTTACTCACGGCGGTCAGCAGTCTGTGAAACCATGCGTGAGAGACAGCTGAAGAACCATCAAGTATTTAACCTGAGGGGACCCAGTAAAGACCCAGATGTAACGGAAACTGGCTTGAAAATAACCTGACGAGTCAACAGCCATTAGATCACAGTCAAATTGATGGCACATTTTTCTAATGTCACCTCTGCAGCTCCTTGGCGTCGTCCAGCAGGGACTCCAGATGCGAGAAGCCAAAGGCTCTGTAGAAACAATTACCGTCGGGCCGCGTCTTCCTGATGTACGAGTATTTTCTGTGCAAATCCTGAAGGAGAACGCAGGGCAATCAGCGAACTCCATCCCAACTCTCCCAAGGCCCAGCCCCCTGTGGCGTGCCACAGATACACCGAACTCCATCACAGTGTCTGCAGCAAACTGCACACAACTCCTGGGCGTCATGGTGGTCCACTGGGTAACAACCTTCAGGATTATGGGTTCTAATCCCACCCTGACTCTGTGTGCACTGAGTGATGCGGGTTTTCTGAGAATGAACCACTTTCCTCTGAGAATCCAAAGACATGCAGTCAAGCTAAGTGATGCAGCGAACGTGCCGTGTAACGGACCTCCCAGGATGTCCCCCGCCTCGTGGACAGGGTCCAGCCTAGGGTGACCAGATAATCCATGTCAGGGAGGATACGTTGAGCTACTTCAGGTTTTACAAACTACTTTCAAATTGAAAGGCTCCTGTGCTCGGCTAAATAGTTCAGCTCTTCTTGTGCTTTGACTGGTTTGTTTCCTTGACTGAAAGACTCATCCAGCTGTTTCACATTAACATTAGTGACACATGCATGATTATAGGAGACTGACCAATCAGCACGCAGCAAGAACTCCGTGCTCAAGTGAAATCCAGGTCCTTTTAATTGAAATGGTAATTTACAATTCCTGTCCTAGCTCAGTGTCCTCCCTGACATGGATTATCTGGTCACCCTAGTCCAGTCCCCCACGACTCAACACTGGATAACTGCTTGAAAGACATGTATCCATTTAGCTTAACCAATAGGAACCGCTACAAACATCAATTTAATAAACATTAGTTTATAGTGCATCTCCAAGGAAAAAAATTTGACAGCAACACAACTCATGCATAAACTAACACCTGCATTTTAGACAATTTTACACTTAGGGTGACCTCGTCCACTCTGTCCCCAAGGCCTGCGGGACTGGACAAAGGACACCAAAGACACACACTGGGGCCAGCGGAGATGCAAGGGTATCCTGATGTTGCAGAGCTCGATGCGTCCCTGGGTCAACAAGTGAGGGGCTTGCGCTTCACTTCTTTAACCAATCACAGTCTTCATCGTATGACATAACCACATTGGTCTCATTTTCAACCTCAAGGCTTCTAGCCCGGCTAACCGGAGGTGTTGTGTGGCTCAGTGGGCTAAGCCTCTGGGCCTGTGATCAGAAGGTTGCCGGTTCGAGCCCAGCCAGTGTGAAATAGCCATATGTCTGTGGGCCCTTGAGCAAGGCCCTTAATATTATTATCGTAAAATAAACACACACCCTTACATTGCTCTTTGCAGCTAAGCATGTTCGTATGGTTTGTGACAAAAGGCAGACACAATAAAATGGGTACTTTACAAATCAGTGCATCTTGCTGCTTAAAAAGAAAACACTATTTTTTATCAATGTGGTGATGTCATACGATGAAGACTGTGATTGGCTACAGAAGTGAAACAGAAGCCCCTCCCTTGTTGACCCAGGGAGATGTTGAAGTTGGCAAAACCAGGACATGCAGAGGTGCAAAGTGCCCTTACTTGTATCTTCTGCTGGTATACGGTGTCATCCAGAGTGTACTCCTGCTCCAGCACTGACAGGGGCTGTCGCTCCGAGACCAAGGGGATGCTCGAGGCTATCTGAGGTCAGAGGTACAGGGAAAGGAAAGGAAGTTTAAAATGCAATGAGAAGTAAATGCGATCAAGCGCCATGCAGTGATTCTGTCCCTCATCCACACACAGTAGTGCGCAACCTGCAATCAGAGTTAAAACACACTTTGCGCTTCATTAACGTTTCTTTAACTTTCTGCAACACTGGCAGTAGACGGGAACATCTCATAAGTAAGAACACAGGGCTGACATTACGTGCTGACCCACCAGACGCTGCGGTCACACCTGTCATGATTTAAATGTAGAAATGAAGGCGGTTTTTAACTGACAGTTGAATCAAATAATGAACTACAAAAATGATTGTGTCAAGCAGAGGTGGAAAGTTCAGGTTCAGAAAGTACAAATCCAGACCATCATTTTTTTATTTCAACCAGCTGAGTATAAAGAGTCACAGTCATAGAGTACTCAGCAGGTCAGTTGAAACAAAATCTGGATTAGTACTTTCTGATCTGGAACTTTCTACCTCTGGTGTCAAGTGCCTTTCAGTGGTATTGACACAAAGAACAATTAATAATACTGCAAACTTAAACACTTTACTAAATTTACTGTCTGGATTTATCAAGGATGGATGTGTGTTACAACAGCTGATTAATGAACTGTATTAAGTGACAATAAGTGAATATTGACTGAATAACATGGAAAGGGGTGAGAGTGAACTTCATTCCCTGATGCGTCAAACACAAAAATGCAAACCCATAGTGTGTGACGTCGGGCTTTACCTCCTGCTGAATACGGTCCTGCTGCGCCATAATGGCCTCGTCATAGCCAAGGCAGGTCACCCCTGGCACAGGCACAGAAAGACGGGGGGAGCGGAAGGTTTCATTTAAAACGTTAAAGTGTGCATGTGCCGACTTAAATCATGCGTGCATTTATTCAAAGGACTGGTGTCAGATCGTGCAGGCAGAGTGCTTTACAGGAATCTTTCAACATGCTGTAAGAAGATTAAATCCAAAGGTAACAGACAGCACTTGGCAGTACTATTAAATTCAAATATACAAAAAAATAATAATCGAACGTTAATTGAAAGAATACTGCATGTCACTATAATCCATCATTTTAGCGCCTAAATTATTTGCCCATTTAACGACAATACAAGGAAGACAACTCCACTGGAAATTAAACAGCCAGCATAACTGTGTTTGTTAATTGGGGTGTTTATGGGTATTTGAGACTGAGCGGGGGACTCTAAGGGCAATTCCAGATTGAAGGCCGTGACTATCAGCACTTCAGCCTCTGACAGCCATCGAGCTTGGCAAAAACTGATTAATTAGTAAAACTAAAGAGCACCAAAATGGCCAAACTCAGCGGCTATGTTCCCGTTTTCAGTTTGCTTCGTATTGATTCGAGTTATTTTGCCTCCATTCCATTGCCGCTATTTCTCCGAGCCATGCCGACAAGTCCAATGAACTAGTGAGAAAAGCAAAATGCCCTTCGAACTCCAAACTAGCTGGTAGCTGGGGGCCGGTTCTGCTCACCATCCGTCTCCCTCCGTGTTTCCTGCAGCTCCTCATCCGCCATCTTTCGCTTGTCCTGACAGCCAATCACACTCTTACTTCCTAACACTTCCGGGTCACGTGATCATCATCACCCTTTAAAATAATAGCAATGCTGGAAAGCGGTACGTATTTGTTTCCTGACCAGGCTTGGCTTTTCTACTTTAAGCAATATCCTGGGGTCTTTTTGTTATTGTCGTTTGTTTTGCACTAAACGTAATGGCTTTTGTTTACGAATATGACCACAGCTGCACGTGGTCTTATATTTTTCGTTAATCCTTCAGCATTCCAATACCGGTCTTGAATATAAGACGGTTCAAAATTAATATTAAGCCCAGATTTGTCGATATGAATCTTCAAGTCTCGTCCATTTCACACATTCGCAGAGCACATTTCCCTTAAAAACAATGTCGATGTCCAACTTTCTTCTACGTTAACGGTTTATTTTGACAACACAGGGTATGTAGTTTACTTATAACGCATACCCTGAATAGGTTATTGAGGCACGTGTTATATTTTTAGCTACGGAGACCATTTTAGGAATTGCTTTAATTGCCAGGGAGCAGACTTTCAGTTGCACGCGTATGAAGAGAATCCATACTTTAAAAAAGAAATATGGTTAAATGTAATCCGTACCACACAAATCCCCTTCTCAGGCTTTAAATTATAAGCATACAAAGAGAACAATCGGTTTAATTTCAGAAGGTGAAGGACCAGCTCCAAAATGAAAACAAACAGTGTAAAAGGCTTAAATATTTTAATTATAACAAGCTCCTTACTAGGGGGGCGTACATCACATTACCCCCTTGGTGTCTTTACATCCACAGCAGAGGTTAGACGATGAAGAATGGTAAACTGATGGGTGGAGAGGTAGATGGATGACGGGGGGGTAACAGGATTTGTTCCGCAAAGATTTAAGGAGCTGATCGCCCAAGGTTGGTGGTCCCAGAAAGTTTCAGGAAGGAGTGGGACAGTGTAGGATCGGGTTGCTCTCAATCTCTCTTCTTGTAGGACTCGAGGTTAGCGAGGACCCAGCCTGCAGGTGCCAAAATGCTGACCATGAACGCCGTCAAGCCGATGACGGTCTCCTGCAGCGCAGGCACAGCGACAAAAAGGGTCAACCTCGAAATATGTAATGCAGGCAAATCTTCATAAATATTGCACTACACGTCAGTATCATTCACCTAAATGGCAGAATTGGTTATTATACATTATCATCATCAGTCACGATTTCATGGAATCAGTACCGCCAGTCTCTTGGTTGGGCGTAATTATTTCATTTTTAGAATCAGAATTCACTTTTTTGGCCAGGTACAGCCCCATGTACTAGTAATTTGTTCAGAAATTATTGGTGCTTACATTCACAGCCAACATAGGACACACGTTAAGAAATATGGTGTAAGTACAAATAAAACGAAATAATAAAATCGTACAAACAGTGCAAAGCTGTACAATTGCTATCAAAAATATAAACTTAAGGGAAAGGGGATATGCGGGCTACCGAAATATATAAATATATGATGCCCAGTAGAACAGAGATGTGCAAAATGCGGGCAGTCAGATGGGGGAGCCATAAAAACGGGCTAAGTTTAGTCTGAACAAAACCTACATAAAATACACGTTAGGTCAACCAAAACTGCAAAAATTATTTTAATACGATAATGACTACAATCTACAGGCAGCCAAAATGAAATATTACAGTTTCAGTGATTCCGAGCTCTGAGTTCTCAGCACAACTCAAACTGTCACCGTTACCAATTGAGACAAATACACCGTGACCTTCAGAAGACTTAAACCTAAATAATAATATTATGAAATTATTATTTTTTTACTTTGTTAGCTAGGTAGTTTTGTGATACAATGTTTGACCGTCATTTAGTATAGAAAGCATGTATGAAGTAAAATGAGGTTAGGCCTAGCAGAAGCGGCACTGCTAAGCTAAGGCACGGCTACACCGGGTTAAACTAAGCAGGTTAGCTACTTACCGAAGCTCCGACCGGGTCCTTGGCCGGTTTGGTGGTGATGCCGGCGCGCTGGGTGATGCCCCAGCGCCTCACCAGCGGCCGAGCGCTCAAAACTCCGCGCAGAAGTCCGGGCATCTTCGTCTCCAGTTGGGAAAATTGCGTCTGAAGGGCGACAGCAACGGTAAGCAGGATGCGGATAGAACCTCACGTGACCGGAAGTGAAGGAACATCCGCCAACTTCCTGTGGTCAGTGAGCGTCCCCTCGCGGTGAACAGAATGAGACTGCAATGAGCGGTTGCAAGCGGTGCAGTAGAACTGCGGTTATTTAGATATCTTTTCTAATTTTTATCTTTTTTTTTTTTTACTGACCGAGTTGTTTTACCACATTAACATTTCAGTTTATTGATATTCAGCTAATAAACTGTTTAAATGTTTTTCAAGATTTTTTACACTTGTTAATAATGATATGCACCGTTTCAAAGGGGGGCACACAATGGTTTCCCAAAACAAATTCCTGCTGAAACCAGTGAATTAGCAGGACTTAATTGTTATATCGTGTCAATAGAGCATTATAAGTAAAACGTTTATAAACATAAAAACAGGTCACCATAAAAATAAATTTAAAAATACATTTGCAAGTCTTCAAGTCCTACAATAATGATTTAATTTTGGATTCAGTGTGCATATGGTCATATGTTGAAATTTGTATAGTATGAGTAACTATCTCAGCAGATGTTATGGTGAATAAAACAGAGCAGCTCAGCTATTGAAATGTCCATTTGCCAGGTGATTTTACCTGTAGGGTTCAGTTTAAATCTCCCATTCAGACTGAATTTCCGGAATTTCCATAGCAGGTTATTTAAGGTGTAACTGGCGTCTTAGCCCACAGTGACACTAAACTCATCTTGGTGAGCCTAACACAGTTGGTGTATCTCAGGACCTTCACTCACATTTTCCATGTAAATCCCACAGTGGACAAGGGTGAGAATATTAACTGGAAAATATTTTTCAAAATATTGATAGAACAAATTTTCTGTATGCAAAATAAGAAAATTTCCATATGCAAATAACATTCAGCATTCATAAATATAATCATTGAAATATAATCATTTGATATTTACATAATTTCCAACAGCACCTTCAAAGCATTCTCAGAAAATGCAGTACATTAAATTATTTTGGATTATGGGGGGCTTATGGTGGTCACAGGGCCGGATGGGATGACAGTCCATCTTAGGGCACACTATTTTAAAATGCACATGCATATAATTCAATGTACCCAAAACTTCCAAAATTTCAAGAACAAAACTATAGTTTCATTTGAGAAGACTGCACAGACTATCAGGATATGCATTTCAAATGCTCATGCATAAAATCCACAACAGGATTAGTATAACAGACTGTAATCTACAGCAGTAAATATAAGAGAGTACACCATGCAAATAATATAGCATCACCTGAGCATCACTGTCCGGGGGTTTCTGGGCCTTAGACGAGCTCAGACACCAGACACTCATGTATTTGTATGGTCTTGTCACTGTAGGGACATCCCTGTAATTATGTTGTTTTTATTATTTATTATTTGCCTTCTCTGTAACACACTGTGCGCTGCATTCAGATGTATGAAACGTGCTGTATAAATAAAACTTAATAATAATAATAATAATCCGAAATTTGAAACTATCCACCCACATTCCAGCCACTTGTGCAGTTAAGGTTTGCAGAAGACCTGGAGCCAGTCCTCCCAGTCAGCACTGGGCACAGGGCTGGGGTGCCCCCCAGACGGGATGCCAGTCCATCACTGGGCATACACATACACACACTCCCACACACAACCATACATTACAGGCAATTTAGAGACAGCAATTAAACATGTAAAAAAGAAATGTAGCAACATGATGGAAAATAAAACAGTTCTGCGTGTTCCAGGGTTTCCCCTCTGGGTTGCATGGACCCTCTGGAGTGACGTCTCAAATCTCTTCCTTCTGGACTGAGCTGGTGAGATCTTTCAGGGGAACCTCATGCTCTTTGAAAGAGCTCTCGAAGGGCTGGTTCCCGTATGTTCTAGAACGAAAAGGGAAGAAGATACTTTTTGTGTTGTAGAAAGCATTTCAGCTTTCTCTTCTTACCCTGTCTGCAAGACCCTGGGCGTGTTTGTTTACCGTCCGAGGTATTTCTGACTTTTAGAAACCTACTTAATAAAGTATGAATCTTCACAAAAACACAAATGACCAGATAGGAAATGAGTACAGAGGAACCCAGAGTTATATGTTATAAAACTTAGAATAGTTCATTTTAAGGTAGTTAGAATATTAATATTACTTCATCGCTGTATAGAACGTACACCTTTGAGGTTAATGGCCGCCTTCCTGTCAGACAGGTAACGTTTGCTCCCACCTGTCCTCCATGTCCTGAATGGTGTCCGGAAGAGGAACGGCCAGTGTTTCCGGTAAGAAGATGGCAAATATCCCGGCAATAATGGGCGCCCCCCCGTAGATGAGGCCAGGGAGCCAGGGCACCGTCTCCCCCAGAAGCAGGACCAGGGGGGCCACCATCGCACCAACACGCGCCATCATGGAGACCCAGCCCATCCCGTTCTGGCTGGAAGGAGAACATGTTTGTGAAACAATACAGATGGGATTATGCGCTGACCAAGGAAGTATCAAAAAAAAAAAAATGAATTTGTTGAGGCAGGCAGCTGTGTGGGTTGAGACCTAGAAGGTTGCTGGTTCAAATCCCTCGGTTGGCAGAGTGATCACACCATTGGACCCTTCAGCAAGGCCATCAACGCCAACTGCTCCAAGGGTTGGCTGACCCTACTGTCTTCCCTACACCTCAGGTTCATGAGGTGGCCTCCTGGGATGCTTTTCCAGCTGCCCTGAAGGAGGTCCCACATATATGCTGAGCTCTCATTGGCTGCTTTTCCGTCACTGTGTTTAGGTCAGGTGGCCAGGTCATGTGATGCGACTCTCCTTTGTAGGCAGCTTGGCGTATCTAAACTGGCACTGTGTGTGTGTGTGTGGTCCAGGCATACATTACATTATGGAGCCCAAATGTCCCCACAATATGATAAAAACCTGTTATTTTGATAATTTTTTCTCAGTTCCCAGAAGAGGAAATCCAATTTTATAAAAAATCTGTGACTGCAATAAAAAAACTAAAGAGGCCAAAAGTATTTTGTTTGGTTACTTATGGTTAAGGTTAGGACTGAGTAGGGTTTACAGTCGTCATTGTTGGGATTAAGATTTTGCTCATAGAAATGAATGGAGAGTCCCCACAAAGATATGAGTACAGGTCTGTGTGTGTGTGTGTGTGCTTGTGTGTGAGCACCAATGGGGACATTAGAGGAGAAAAAAATTAATGGATGAAAAAAAATGAATTCTTTTGCAAGAGCTCACAAAACCTTAGCGTTATCTCATAATACTTTGGCAAGATCTCGCAAAAGGACTTTTCTTCCATTAATTTTACAAAAGTATTGCGAGATCTCGCAAAATGGCTCATTTTTTTCCCATTAATTTTTTTGAGTATCTGGCCAGATCAGAAGAAAGTTGATCAAACAGGTCAAAATTTTCACCAATTACTGAATAGACCGGATGATTTGCGGGGTGTCGTGGGTGTAGACCGGCCTACCGGATGACCGTGGGATAAAGTTCTCCAGAGTACAAGTAGCAGCAGTTGAAGGAGGCAGCCAAGCAGCCTTTGCCCAGAACGGCCAGGCTGGTCCGCAGGATCTGCATTTCTGCAGGGGTGACAAAGAGGAGAACCAGGGTACCACAGGGGTGACAAAGAGGAGAACCAGGGTACCACAGGGGTGATGCCAAGTAACAGCAGGGAGATATCAGCCAAAGGCCTGGCAAAGCTCACCGTACCGTACGGCACTGCCAGGTTGATGAGGATGGTGACACCGGCCAGGATGAGGGCGGCACACTGGGATGGCCGCCTGCCAATTTTGCTCATGCACACAACGCCGATGACCTTGGCGGGGATGTCCACCGCCCCGAAGATCACCTGGATCAGGTAGATGTCCACTCCGAACTTTTGGAGGTCCATGGATAAGCCATAGTAGGCGAAACTTGTGGAGAACCTGAAAGGAGATGGTGTCACACGTATTTACAAAAGGCTCTGCTTCAGGTGCCAGCAGGAAGTTTGATGAGTGCCATCATTCATTTTTGGCTTGAGAAAAACCACAGAAATGAAGTCTGGCAACCACATACAGACCGAGAGACACGCATGAGACAGTCTCTCGAGGGATGGGATTCACACACCAGACGGCACTGAGGCAGATGGTGATGACTCTTATGACAGATGTGCGGAACAGGTCCATTGCAGAGTGAGTTCCTCGAGAGCAAGACATCTCCTTCATCATCGACTCCTGCAGCATCTACAGAGGAAGGACACCGGTCCAGCTTCGCTTCATGTCCTCATGGCTGATATGTTGCTGTGAATTTATTTTATATGTTCATGAGCAGGGATCCTGGGGCCCTGGGTCATGTGGGGTTCTGGGACTCTGGATAATGTGGGGTCATGTGGGGTCATGTGGGGTCCTGGGGGCACAGGGGCCCTGGGTCATGTGGGGTCCTTAGGTCCTGGGTCATGTAGGGTTCTGGGGCTCTGGATCATGTGGGGTCATGTGGGGTCCTGGGGGCACAGGGGCCCTGGGACATGTGGCGCCCTGGGTGCCAATCCTTATCAAGGCGCACACACTGATACACTAATTCAGAGATGCTAATTAACCTAGCCGCATGTTTCTGGCGTGGGGAAGGAAGCCTTAGTACCCCAGCTAAACCCGAGTCACACCGGGACAACTTGTCATTCCATTTTATCTTTTGTCGAAAACAAAGCTTTAGTTTGATCTTGTTTTAGTTAGAGTTGAGTAGTTACTAGTTGAATTCAGTTTAAAAGAATCTAAAGCAAAGATCAACTCAACCATGAACAGCCACACCAACCTCAGCGTTGATTCGCCGCCCCTCCGCCTCGCGTCCGTTGATGTGGGCTACGACGCGCAGGTTCTTCACAGCTTGCTCCGGCTTCCTGCTCAGCACGAGCCAGCGCGCCGACTCCTGTAGCCACCTGCAGAGCGTCAACATGCCAGCACGCTCTTACGGCACTCTGGGGTACCTCAGCTGGCGATCACCCAACAACCGCTAGACATCGGTTCAAGAAATTTCTCATAACATAAAAAAACAGTTCTGATACTTCTTCAAAATCAAAATATTAAAGATTCTAAGAAGAATGTTAGTATGTCCAAGAATAATAGATTGGCTTTGCCGATATTTGAAAGGGACAGTTCACCGAAAAAGTGACAAAAACAAATGTTTTAGGGGCTTTTATGCTACCTATCCACCTATGTTGTTCTGACGGGAGTCACCTAGTTTTGGAGATACTGGCCATAGAAAGTCGGTCCTCTTTCGAATATAATGGAACTGAATGACATTCTTTCTGTGGTGATTAAAGCGCCAGAAAATTTTAAAAAATTCAACAGGAATGTCTCATACCAGAAATCACGTCCCAGTTACTCAAGATAACTCAGAACTTTGTAGTGAGCAGTTTAATGTAGGAAGTATTTTCTTCTACCAAACTCCACACACCGATCCTTTCACTGCAGAGAAGATAGAACCAAGGTACTCATGATTTCTGATAAAATACATTGCAGTTGAATTTTTCTGATGTATTGTTGGTGCTTTAATCACTACAGAAAGAATGTCATTCAATCCCATTATATTCCAGAGAATATATTTCTACAACTGTTCTCCAAAACTAGGTGACTCCCAGCAGAACAACCTAGATGGATAGACAGCACCAAAGCTCCTCTAAAGCATACCTTTTTCAGTGTTTAATTTAAATTAGATTATAATAAGACAGTGAACTCGCTGGAGGAGAGTAGCTTCTGTGAAATCTCACCAGGAGTAGAGGAAGGAGATGTAGAACGGCATGGAGACGGCCAGAGTGAGCCAGCGCCAGTCCCGGACGAAGTAAGCCACCCCAGCCAGAATCAGCTGGCCCATGGTATAGCAGTATCCCGTGGCAGTGCCCACGACCGTCCGCACTTTCGTGGGGATCCACTCTAAGACTGCCATGAGATTGGAAGCATAAAGAGCGAGACTGAGGCTCTAACCAGACACACGCGAGCCGCATCTCCTATGTGGGGAAGGGGCCAGGCTGCCGGCCTGGCCCAGTCACCTGTCCCACTGTGACTCTGCTCCCTGCCTAATCACACAGCTTTAATTAGGGTGACGGACTGGGGGCCGGTGGCTGGGTTAGGCCGCCGGGGACTCACTGAGCGAGAAGGAGTTGAGGATCATGCCGGACAGCGCCATGCCACAAAGGAAGCGGAAGAGACAGAAGAGGGGGAAAGAGGGGGCAAAGGCTGCACACGTCCCCGAGACGGCCATCAGGAGGTGGGACAGCAGCAGCAGCATCCGGCGGCCAAACCTGGGGGGGGAGAGGGCGAGGGAGCGTGGGGTACAGGGCCTGCATGGGCTGGTACTTCACAGAGTTACCGAAATAGGGCTTTTAAAGTCCTCAGTGTAGCTCAAAAAGCTCAAATGTAGCTCAAGAGTCTTGTGCTAGCAATGCAATGGGTGTGGGTTTGAATCCCATGGAGTACCCAGATAAGTGAGTGCGTGTTTACGTCAAAGTGCATTCTGGGTAAAGCAGTATAGTGCTGCAAGAAGTAAACGGCCACTAAATCTGGACTGATAAGAATCACAGAAGGTTAAAAGCATGAAGGTTGTTGGCTCAAGTCCTATGGGGGCCATCTGTCGCACAAACTTTGTCCAGCAAATTATGCAGCTTCTATAAATGAAAAAAACTGTAATCTTGGCTAAAACTGTCAACAATCACGTGATGGTAAATGTTTCATGTCTGACCTCCCGGCACGACAAACGTGACTGGACACCACATGGGACATGGGAGCTTCAGTTCAAATCAATTCGGCTTTGTCTGCGTGCCGCGTGATACTGCTGGCATCGCCACAGCGCCACTTCAACCCGAAATGGAGCCCGACCCCCTGCCGGGGCAGTCTAGGACAATGGAAGCAAGGAAGAGACCTTGAGCAAAATCAGACTGAGACTGACTGGACAGGAGGGGGGCCCTTTTGCCTGTGAATGTTAGGGATTAGAAGATATTCAGAGGAGGCTGAGAGTATCCGGGGTTTGCCTGACAGTATGTGTCCAGTTACAGCGACGTACCGCCGATCCCTGCGTGTCTCCACAGCGTAAAGCCGTCACAGTTTTGTGAAAATGTCAAAACACGGATTTGTCCTGAAGTTCTTACCTTGTGTATAGTTGTCTAAATTTCAGAATTAGGCACGGTTTTCTCATTCATATGGCCCCAATCAGAATGGGATCACCCCTCCCAGTGCTCAGTGCTGAAACTGTTTGTGGCTAACTTTGAGGGCACCATGCAAATGTGTGGTTTGACAGTGGTAAACACTGCCTCTGGACAAGTTGTTCGAAAGGGCTGATTTTACTGCAGATTACATCATTCAGCCTAAAATGTTGTGATAAATGAGTGATAAAATGAATTAAAGAAAAAAAAAAGAATAATACAATTCAAAATAAAACAGTGATTTTGTCGACTCCTCTTATGCATCTCCCAGTATGACCAGCAGGGGTCGCTGCTAATCGTCCGGAACCCTCCTGTTTCCTCCCAGCTGTGTTCTACTCATAATCCCCAATCCTAATCATGGAAAACATCAACACCTGTATCGTATCAGCCTCTCGTCAGGTCAGTATATAAATGCTTTCCAGTCCTGTGTTTCCCAGTTCAGTCCTCTGGTTGCCTGTGTCCCTCCCCATGTTAATCCTCCACCTTTTGATCCCCGGCAATCCTGTTTGTTTGCCTGCTCCTGTATTGTTAAATAAAGTCCCTTGCCCTCGGCTCCTTTAGTTTATGGATATGACAGATTTAACCATTAAACCTTATTTATCATGTTGATTCATGTTATAACAACATTGTTGATTTATTTGATCCATCTGCCGTTTCCTTGCACTCATCCCCAGGACCATGGATATGGGCACATATTTCAATCTCTGCGCATCAATGGCACAGATGGAAAATTGGTATGCAGTGGGACTTTACCTGTCCGCCAATCCTCCAAATACCACTGATCCCACTAAAACCCCTCCCATGTAAACACTCTGGCCCATCTGCTTGTACGAGCGCCGGTCACACACCAAGTCCCACTAAGAGAGAAACAGAGGCAGTCATTTGTAAAGCAGGCAGGAAGCTGGACATCTTTTTCTATTTCACCGTAAACTGTGTTAACAATCGCAGACCAGTCATGACCACTTTGGGTTGAAGGTAAAGGTTATATATACACATCAGCTGCTTGCAGCAAACGTTTCTATCCGATGGGTCCTCAGCCATTTCCAAGCTCTCCACTGCACCCTACCTCTGATATTATGGTGGAGCTCATCTCGCTCGTATCATAGTCCCAGCCATCTTCACATCCCTGTAAATCTTTGCTGGGGGTATCTGCAGTTCTGGAGCTGGCATTGCTGGTCTGGAGGTGGAACTGAGGAGTAGCGTAACGGCGGCACTTCGACAGCTGCCCGTCGGCCTCCAGCGGCACGAAGAGCCGGACGGCCTGGCTGGGGTCCAAACGGGGCGCCGAGAAGTTCTTTGGGGCCCGGCAGTGGTGGGGCGGCACCAAGGCTACGAAGTTCTGGAGGAGGTTGTGACTGGCCATCATGAGGATGGGCAAGGAGAGCAGGGTGACGTGGATGATCTGGAAACGTCCAGTGCTGCCTACCAGCTCCAGGAGGTCTGCAAAAGCCATAGCAGCGGAGCAACTAACAGCAACAGGCTTGGGTTTCGAGCAGAACCACAGTCCGTCGCTACTGACGAGCTCTGTGTGAGGTGCTCTGACTGAACAGAAGAAGAGTCCGCAAAAACACAAATGTAAGCGCGAACGTGACCGTGAACTGCTCCTGCCGGTCCAGCCTCTCGAGACCAATTATGGAGAATCAGCCTCTGGACCCAGTTCTCTGAAAGACAAAAAAAACAGTAAGTGAATATGACACCCAATACAAGGTCATAATGACTTTAATAAGCATCTTGGTTTTTGGTGCGAAAGATGCTCTATATTAGGGTATATCAACCCCCGCTCCGTGGAAACGCTGGGGTGTTTAGCCAATATGGTGGTTAATTAAGCTATTTATGTGGTTTCTTTCGTTCTGCTCGCATTTGAAAAAAAAAATGGAAACGGTTAAACTTATAGAAGAACCGCTCTGCCCCGGTTCGTAAGCCAGTCCGCAGAAAGCCAAAGGTTCGGAGCCCGTACTCTGCGTGACTTACTGCAAAACTATTTACATTATTACCGTAATAAGCGCTTTATATTTTAGAATTCCTCATTGAATAATTATTTCCTGTTGTATATGAGTTATATAAAAATGGTTTCTAAAGAGGATGACGAGATCGCCTCTCTGAAAGCTGATGACCGATGAATGAGATGAATGTATATGATAAAAACTGATAATACCTACATTAATATTGCTCTTGAACCGGAATTGATGAACCGCACCGTTTAACACAATAAAAAATATATGTATCTAATTTGAGACGATATATCTACCAGTAAACAGAATAAGATACCTCGTTGTGTGAAGCAATTATAGCAAATTTACTTACTGAAAAAAATGATCTTTGCTTAGAAAAAGATCATTTGAGAAAAAAAAATCATTATTAGTAAATTAATATTTTCAAAGTTTGGTGATGTAAATTACTTAAATTAATGTAATTTAAAGAAATACTGAAGAAAGAAAACTTTTTACAATCTCTTTGACAGCGTTAGGTATTTCTGCGTTGTTTCTAATGACACGATGAAAATGAATATAAAACAGGCATTAAAAAGCACTAAGTTCTGTCTTCCCTGATCCTTCCACTTACTGATGGAATGATTCCTTGTCCCGAATTTGTATTAAAGTAACTTTAATCTGGCTGGGGTCCCGGGTGCCGTCTTATCTGTGATATGGGAAAGAATAACGTGCAGTCTCCGGTTTTATGCGAATCGCATCACCGGTACAGCACGGAGACCCCCAGAACACTCTGGCGTTACGTAAGAAGACTTTATGGTCATTGAGTAACTGCAGCGTACCCCCCGCCCCCTCCACTCCGACCCACTAATTGGCTTTGCTGATAGCGGGGTCGCTATTGACGCATGCGCAGTGACAGCACTGATTTACATAAGGAGAAAACTCCGAGCTCATGATGGAATGCGATTCCGTTGTGACCTCTTCTGGTGTTTAATAATTTGAACAGTTTAAAAGTTTACAGTTTAAGTCATCTTAGTCGTGAAGTTTACAGTTCATGATTATTTCACAAACTGTGAAGTTAGGTTTTTGATATGGCACGAAGTTTACAGTCAACTCTTGAGTATTTCTATGTACTATGAACTTTCATCATGGTAATAGTGTACAGTCAGTTTTAAGTCACGTTACACGAGGGGCTAATGAACGGGCTAATTTTTGTTTTATGTTCCCAGTGGACATCGCTAGTTTTGGGTCCAATTGGTCTGAAATACATTCCCAGCAAACATGAGATGCTGGACCCAAGTGCCGCTGATAGCAGTTTCACTTACACAAAAATGTTCTGAGGGCAGAAAAAAAATTATTGGTTAAATGAGATAACCAATCAGGTTGTAAAGGAGGTGGGGCCAACCAATCAGATATCTTGGTCCAGCTTTCTCTAGTTGCTTGGTCTCATTCATGAAATGTCTGCAGAATTTGTATGTAAAATATTTGCACAAGGCAAACACAGGGCTTATCAATGTTTTAGTAACGACAATGTTTGTAGAGATCTTACACATGGTTCTAGGCACAGTTTAGTGTGTAAATAATATAAAGCACAAGATATGACTATCATTTCAACAGCACAATTTAAGTGAAAAAAATGAAACACGAGAATTCATGGCTTACCAATTCAAGAGCCTAAAGGGTTCTGTACAATGTGTCAGTGATTTACGGACGTTTCATAAATGAAACCTATTACATTTTGAACAGGCAATAATATCGAAATGTTTATGCAAAAATGGGTTTGTGATTTGAAGCATGAAGTTTTTGAAATGAATACCTCTCTCCTTTTTTAGTTTATTCGGCAACCTTGTATTTTTTGGTGTACAGTAACAGCATTTGTTAAAATTTGCTTAAAGCTTGTGTAGTGAATTGTTACTCTTATTTGCGTGTTTGAATACTTGAGATAAACTTTGCTCATTGCCTGTTTTGTAGATGCAGTAAGAAGAGCAAAGCCCCACAATATGCTGCCAATGGAAATGGGGCAGAACTCTGGCTTTGTGGTGTCAGAGACCGATCAGGAGGAAGAAAGCAGAGGCTCTTTCCTGCTTTGGAGAAAGACAAACAACAGGGACTATTAAGCTGATACTGAATCTGACTGCAGACGGATTCACAGTATCACAGTAGAACCACAAATTGTGACACTGTGAAGTTAAGTTTGGCTGTACAGTAGGTTCATGGTAGATCCCTGAACTGTCCGCAGCTTAACTGTAAACTGGTAAAGTCAGACAGTTAACAGTTTGACTGTAGATTTCATAGTAGAACCGTGAAAAGTGCTGATTCAATGTAAATGTTCATGTGAAACTGTGAAAAAATTCGACCAAATTAATAGTTTTACTGTGAATTTTCACAGGGTGTTTTTTTTCCTGTGATCTGGAGGCGGGGGGGGCAGTGCCATAGGAGGAAGCTCATACTGTAAACAGCCCCCTCCTAGGAAACAAACCCTAAAAAACACCAGCTGACCTGCTGCTCACCCAGAACACCTACTGAAGTCCTTTGGCCATCTGATTTGTCTCGTCCACAGTTTTGTAAGGCGGTGCTCCTTTGATAAGGGTCAGTAATTACACCGAGTCTGAGGATCATTTAACTTCTGATGGACTGAAGACTTATTGACAGATCTGGTGTAAACAGATTCCTGCATGTAAATGGTACATCGGAAGGGACCGTCACTGTCAGAACAAAGTACCACTTGTTACAGTACAGAAATGGACTTTGGGGTACATTAATGGAGGTTTGCCAACTTTGGCCAGCTGTGAGATATTCAATTCGAGATGAGTCTGCACACATATGCACATCTTTCACATATAACAGTTTCATTACCTTGTACATAGTCTGTTGGGCTTGCAAACTACCCCAAAGTTTTTGATGTAGCTGATTTTAGGTTTATAACGGAATCTTAAAGATTTCCTGTAAAATCTTACTGACAGTGTAGCACGACTCGTCCGTGGAAATGTTTTGCTTGATGTATGTAGGCCGCAGGTCAGAAATCGCCAGGGTGATAATCCCTGTGCATTGGACACACTCTTTGTTAATGTTGGTATTACCGACTAGTCGAGGTCGTGTCCTGTTTCTCCAGCCCGGAATGGGCTTTGTTTGTTCTTCATGTTAACTAGTAAATAAATGTCTTTAACAGACAACAGTTAATCCACTGTTCTGCAAAATCTGTCCACAGTTGGATCCATATTCTTCATATTTGAAAGTAGCAACCTAAACGACGGCCTGGTCTTTGCCGCTACACCCCTGTATGATTAAGGAAAAAATATGTAGTTGCCATTTCAAGAGGTTCAAGAGTTTTATCATTTTTGCTTTTTTTCTACCTTTATCAGGTGCAAAGTCCAGAGAGGACAGTTCTGACACACAACAGGTCCAGTTTATCACTTGGTGACAGAAACTGCTTCCATAGTGGGCTAATGTGCACTGTGAGCTGGTAACTTATTACAACCGTCTCTTGTGCAATGGTTTAGCATAAATCGGCAAGGTGCTGATCCCTAACATCAGAGTCCCCTGAACGGCGTCATTAATTCCCACCAGTCATATGCGTTTGTTGCAGAATATTAAACTACTGTAGCGATTTACTCTAGAGATACCTTGAGTGCAGGGACGGGGGGGGCAAATGCGTTTTTCCAAGACTTTTCCTAGACTGCTTATGTGAACCCCCCCACCCCCAGTAATAATTACAATCTCCAAATCCCAAAATAACCCCAGATACCGCCCCCCCAGCCCTCTAAACAGAGCATGGGTGAATTGCATAATAATCACTCCCTTCCGTAGCACACAGGACGGTCCAGAAGGTTCCTGGAAGGTTGGGCCATCGTCTAAAAATGTCTTCCTCATCTTATGAGGTGCCGTGATTTCCCAGAAATCTCACTTCTTGCAAGTGAAAGACGCAGGAGCTCCTTTTAACATCCAAGGTGGCCAGATGGGACCATCCCATCATTACGCCAATGTCGCTAATGGGAAACTCTTTGGGAATTTCCATAAGCATGTGCATTACAAGCAGGTGCATGTTTGCTGTATGGACTGGCCTCCCCTTCAAACACAGGGGCGGGTGTGTGTGTGATCACATCGTGGGGACCACAACACTAAAAATGCCAAAAGTCTTGTATTTTGCTTGGTTCCTTATGGTTAAGGTTAGGGCTGGGTGGTGGTTAAGGTTGTCATTGTTGGGATTAGGGTTTTTCCTATAGAAATGAATAGACAGTCCCCACAAAGATATGAATACAAGTGTGTGTGTGTGTTGGGGGGGGGGACCCACCTATTCCAAAAACATTTGAATGACATTTCCAACTCACACATTTATGGCTGAACCAGCCAATGGCGTTTCACGAGACACGACACATGCAAGCGCATCATACATTTCATACAAAATGACCAGGGGCGGCTGTGTCATTGGCTGCAGCTTTATTTTTCTTTCTCTGACCGGAGTACGGCAGGGTGAACCCGGAACCCATTTAACACCTCATCACCACAGTGACGTCTGAAGCTGTAGTCACACATTACCCGACACACGTGCCCCTATCCTCCAGACCTCTGGCTCCTTAGACTTGCACAAAAGCTTTATTTTGAACTATCAGCAGTTTTATCAACCATTATCCGGGGGGGGGGGGGGCACTTAATTCTCAATCTTATTGTATCACAGGGCAAACACAGTGGTACACACCAACATCTACTTGGGTGTAACTAACGAGAGGTTTCCCCAAACACAGTGGTACACACCAACATCTACTTGGGTGTAACTAACGAGAGGTTTCCCCAAACACAGTGGTACACACCAACATCTACTTGGGTGTAACTAACGAGAGGTTTCCCCAAACACAGTGGTACACACCAACATCTACTTGGGTGTAACTAACGAGAGGTTTCCCCAAACACAGGTGAGTCTGATTCAAGTGCCTTTACTTACATCCACTTCCACTGCTGATGCTGGCATGGAGATATGAGTGTATTTGGCAAATTTGCAGGTCACCTCAAGACAGGTTTCAGTAAAGAGGTTCAAAAAGTGGCACCAAACAATTGACTTAGGAAGTGAAGCTTCGTAACCGAACAGCAGTTTTGATGATAAACGGGAGTCGATTTTGAGATGAAGAGGGGACGCTTCGGGCCGGCAGGCTAACCAAAGGTGGATCATTATGTCCAGATTAAGCCTTGAGCGGAAGGAGGGTTAGTGGTTGAATATCGATTTCCTTAATGTGGTGACCAGGTTGCACCATGATATTGTAAAGTTAACTCTCTCAACAGGGAACATAACATCTTCAAATACATGTTTAATCTTGTTTTCCAAGAGCAAATTCCATGTACACCACAGTACCGTACCTAAATACAGTAGCTTATCTCGTTTCTTCTTGTACCTAAATACAGTAGCTTCTCATTTCTTCTTGTACCAGGACGAAGGCAGGGCTATTTAACGTTTCTCATCTGGCCCTGGGATCTTCTCTAGGGTTGGCTCGATTCCCCAGATCTCACGGGCGTACTGGCCGATGGTGCGGTCACTGGAAAACTTGCCACAGCCAGCAATGTTATGGATCACCTTCCTGGTCCACTCCTTGGGGTTCTGTCAGGAACGATATGAACCGGAACACAAAGCCAAGCTGAAGTCCGTCATGCTGCCAGGACAGCATCCAGTATTATCTCAGGAGAAACAGCTTTGGCACAACTACGCTAGTGGTTAAAGATCACGACATAGTATCAGGACGTCTACGGTGAAATCTACGGAGCCACTAATGACATAACGATAACATTTTTACTTACATACATACCACACACACACAATTCAGGTCCAAACAGTTAAATTCCAGACCAGGATTTTGTTTCAACCAACAAGTTGTATAAAGCATCACGGTCACAGAGTACGCAATTGGGTGGTTGAAACAAAATTCTGGTCTGGACTTTTACTGTCTGGACCTGAATTGCCCAACTCTGTATGTATGCATGTGTGCCTCCCGCTAACATCAGTTCTACGTAATCAGGGCTTATAAGAATGTGTCTGTAGGTCAATCCAACCAAGGGTTGCCACTTGTGAAGAAATACAGGACTTCCCTCATAAAGATATGCCGAGGGGGGGGGGCTAGTGATCACGAACATGGGACAAATCACATCCCGTATTGGTTCAAAACAGGACGCACCATTTTATTTTTCCAATATGGGACAATCCCATAAAATACGGGACTGGTGACCACTCTGTTTAACCATCTCCGTCCACCAGCAGATACAGACGTCTGGTGGCCCACATGGAGAAGCCGACCAACAGGCTGGGTTAGTAAAGCCTAGTTACCATTTAATACATTGTGGGAACGAATCAGTCAAATGTGGCCCCGATATATAAACATAATTTCTCTTTATGTCACGAGTGGGACTCCGCAGATCTCATCCATGTCGATTCTCCTTCCAGCTCAGAAACATGGGATTCCACCTCTCACACACGATTCCCAGTAGAGTGCAAACATGCCTCTACCTGACGAAGGCCGCATTTTAGTTTCCGGAATAGGTTTGGAATCATGGCATTAACATAGAAACGACTGCTCCCTGCTGAAGTCCCTCGCTGACCCCCCCCCCCGACCCCGCTGCCGCACACTTACCTTGTACAGAGCGCCGACTTTATCCTGGCACTTCATGTAGTCTTCATAATCCGCAAACACCTTGAACCTGCGAACGTCGACACAGGGTGAGACGCCGTCTGGGCGCATTCACAGCCCAGAAGCCGCATGGGATGCGTCGCGCACGGAGCCTCGGAGTGCGGCACGGAGCCTCGGCGCGCGGCACGGAGCCTCGGGGCGCGGCCCGGCTGCGTGACCACTGCCCGCCACCCCTCACCTGTCATGGTGCATCAGCAGGTCGACGATGTCCTTAAAGAGGTCGGGCTGGCTGGGACTGAAGAAGCCCCCGGCGATCTGGTCGATGGCCTGCTTCAGCTCAGGGATGCGGCTGTAGTACTCGCCCGCATTGTATCTGCGAGACAGGGATGGCTTACAGGACGGCTAAAAATTCAGTCATGACATTTTACAGTTACAATGCCGACCATTGTTCTTCTTTTCCAGACATCGCGTAAGTATCTCGTATCTGTGAATAATGGTGTAAAACTGCAATAAGTTCTTGTACAAATACGGTCGACATCCTAACGGTAGTATTCAGCTGCACTACATCGGCTGATGTGATCAGTTGCCTTATTAGCCTCTTGCATTGTTTGGCAGATGTTGTGTAGCTCCTACTCCACTCCTGCTCACTCCTGTACCTGGTTGTTCACCGGAAGCTAAGCCTAGCTGTACTTATGCCTAGTTGACTCCTTCACAGCCATATGCTAAAGAAGTAAATGCAGATGCATTATAGATTTGACTAGTGGTACCAAACACAGACTGTTTACATCACTATAGTCAATATGCATAACTGTCCTGATTGTGCTTCATTAAAGTCACCTTGCTACCCAAGCTGTGCTGGGGGACATTCTGACATCCACCAGGTTACTACTCCCCATTAAGCCCAACGTCGGCATCCCTTTCCATTCTTCCCCACATACCCCTTCCTGTCCAGAGCCTCCACGTCGTCCACTCGCATGCCGAAGATGAAGAGGTTCTCCTCTCCGGCCTCCTCTGCCATCTCCACATTGGCTCCATCCATGGTGCCGATGGTGAGGGCCCCGTTCAGCATGAACTTCATGTTTCCCGTCCCCGAGGCTTCGGTGCCGGCCGTAGAGATCTGCTCGGACAGGTCTGCCGCCGGGATCGCTGAGGACGGGGAGAGTCCCGACGCATCGCGGTCAGCAAACACTCGCTTCGAATGAAGCCAGGAAGGGGTACCGGCGCCAGACGGAGGTCAGTACCTTTTTCAGCGAGCGTCACCCTGTAGTTCTCAAGGAAGATGACTTTCAGGCGATCGCCCACCACTGGGTCGTTGTTCACGATCTCCCCGATGGCCGTAATAAGCCGTATGATCATCTTGGCCGTGTGGTATCCAGGGGCAGCCTGGATGAGAAGCGGGATATGCTGTTAAGGGACCTTGGGGAGGAGAGACGACGGGCACTGGAACGAGTTACATTCACTCATGTTTCTGGAGAACAGTTTGTACAACGTGACTGATAAGGAGCCCTCAGCTCCAATCATAACTCAAAAATCAACCATAAATGAAAGGGAGGTTACCTTTCCTCCAATCATTATCGTCCTGGGGACCCAGTGCTTGTTTGGGTCCTTCTTGATGCCTGAGAAAGAGCAGCAGTAATGAGCCACATGCTCTTCGCCCCGGCGAGCAGCGACACTCAGAGCGAAGCCGGAGGAGGCCACTCACGGTTGTAGAAGGTGATGATATGCAGGCAGTTGAGGAGCTGCCTCTTGTACTCATGGATTCTCTTCACTTGAAGGTCAAAAATGGAGTTGGGGTTTATCTTGACCTTGTAGTGTTCCTCCAGGTGCACCGCAAACTTCAGCTTGTTCTCCTGTGAAGTACGAGATGGAGATCCAGCAACATTAGCTATGCAGGATGGAATTAAGGCCTGCTGGGGACACATTGTACTCACAAACAGCGATTTTCCCTTTTTTTTTGAGGGGGGTGGGGTCGCTATGATGACTGTTCACCTGTTTGACCTTGGCGATGTCTCGGATGAAGGCCTCATCATTAACAAAGTCGAGCAGCTTCTTCAGCTGGTCCAGATCGTGAATAAACTCCTCTCCAATTCTCTGACAAACAAAACAAAAAACAAACACCACACATGACAAAATGAAGAGGAGTAGTGACCAAGCAAAACACACCATAAACAGTCTGCAAATTACAAAGAACAATAAAAAAAAGAATACTTTGCAATAATTGTTCAGCTGATCTTTTCATTTCAATGCGGCAGACTGATGTATATTGTATACATTTAAATTTATTGAGCAGACGCTCTTATCCAAACAAAATTACATATCCACACCCTTAAATACTACGCCATCTAGTGCTTATGAAATGAATAGCGGCGAATGCTTTTGGGTCAAAAACTGAAACTAAATAAATTGCTGGTTAATTTCCATTTGGGGTAGAGGGACAGGGACACAAGCACAGGAACGTGTCAAGCGGAGGTTTCCATTCACCTCCGCGATGATCTCAGCAAGGCCAGGGTTGCACATGACCAGCCAGCGACGGGGCGTGATGCCATTGGTCTTGTTTTGGAACTTAAGAGGGTCCATCTCATAGAAATCCTTGAACCTGTGCAAGAATGACCATCCATTCTTTTATTCCTACTACAAGGAACAACAGACACACCGCATGACCGCCTAACCTAACCTGCCAAATCTCACATTAAAAACTGCCAATGAAAGTACTGTACGGTTAACCAGCTCAAACTTCAAAATATGACATTAAACCAATAAGGGCAAAAGAATCTCACTTGGCTCCCCACGCATTAGGATTGTCCGTAAAACCCCAAGTCTGTTTAGACACCAGCTGCATGGCAAGTTGAGAACCTTGGAAGAGATTTCTAAGTGGGCGAACCCAGAAGCCCCGGGGAGATAAAGACGAAGACGTGGAACGGGACTCACACGGTGGCCTTGAGGATGTCCGAGTGGATGCGAGCCACTCCGTTGACGGCGTGGGACCCGACGATGCAGAGGTGGGCCATGTTGACCCGCTTCTGGTCGCCTTCCTCGATCAGCGACATGCGGCGCATGCGGTCCATGTCTCCGGGGTACAAAGAGGAGATGCGCTTTTGGGGGGGCGGGAGGATGGGATGGACACAGAAAGAGAGGGAGAGGGAGAGAGAGAGGCAAAGAGGGAATTAACTTTAGTCTGGTAAGCCTCAGCCTTCACTAAATGCCGTTTCAAAGTGTGAAAACAAACACACACAAGACGCCAAGAGCCATGTTCTTAAACAGGTGAATCTTACATTCTCATTTTTAGCTGAATCTATGGCTGATGTCAGCCAGTATTGTGGTTTTTTTTTTTAATTACTTATCTTAGATGTTACCTGAATACTTTAACCTCCTGAGACCCAGCAAAAAAAAGTTTTTATTTATTTATTTATTACAGAAATTCAATTAAATGCAAATTAAGTTAAATGAGGTCTTAAAACCCTAACAACAGGAGTTAATAGAATGGGGGCATATATAGGTGTCAGAGTAATAAATAATGTCCTCTACAGGGGATAAAAATGCTGCAGGATTTTTGCTTGACTCTAACTTTAGTTTTGACTTCATGTGCTGCCAGTCCATTAGTGCAGCGTTTCTCTAACCCAGCCCTTGGGGACCGGCAGACAGTCCGGCTGGGAGGCAGCAGTGACATCCACCATCTGGGTCTCCCACGATCGGGTAGAGATCCTGTGCACTTCCCGGTCTCACCTCTAGATGGCGCCGGTTGATCTCATAGATGATCTCCAGGTGACGGGGGAGCAGGCGCTGGAACAGGTCGATGGGCCAGCGCTCCAGGGCCTCGGGCAGGACGGTGTGGTTGGTGTAGGCGCAGCTCCGCACGCAGATGTCCCATGCCTGAGATCAGTCAATGAACCGGACGTTTGAAGTTCAATTGCGATTTCCCAATACAATCGAACACCAATGGTGCCGTCAGGGTGCGGCAGTTTAACGGCGTCAAACAATCACGCACACGATTCTTCATTAACTCTGCGGCTCTATATTTCACTTTGGTTCAGACAGAATGTTCCGGTGTGTCTTTGGCAGGATGTTATTTAGACATAAGGACACAACGAGGACGACCACAGTGCCACTGAGATACTCAGACAAATCGTCCGGGTTCAGAAAGTAAAAATCCCGACCAAGGTTTTGTTTCAACCAACCAGCTGAGTGCTCTGTGAATGTGACTCAAGTGGTTGGCTGAAACAAAATCTTGTTCTGGATTTTTACTTTATATGAACTTTCCATCTTTGGAATCACTGAATGACCTGGAGTTGTGGTCAATATCTCCAGCACTCACCTTATCCCAGGACTGCTTCTCATCGTCAACCAAGATCCGCATCAGCTCAGGGATAGCCAGCGAGGGGTGGGTGTCATTCAGCTGGATGGCGACCTGCGTAAGGACAAAGGAGCATGCGATATAGAACTTCAATTAAATACGATTCATTTTTACACATTACTGATACATTTACTGATTACTGTTTTTTTTTTTCTGTCCTGGAAAGCGACCTTGGGATTGTGAAAGGAGCTATATACATGTATTTTATTATTACTAAGTCATAATAATATAAAAGCAGGCAGAGAGAGTGAGAGAGAGAGAGAGAGAGAGAGAGAGAGAGAGCGACCTCCAGGGGTCAACTGGCTTCCCAACCCCCCTAAACGCAAGGTGTAAATTGTGGTCAAGATCAAATTCGAAGTCCATGATTGAGTCAGTTCTCTACATCAGCCTGGATAGCGTGACTGAAGGCTGCACCCACGACGTTATGGTTCATAAGCCGATTCTTCTCCCTCGAACCAGAGACTTTTGTATACAACAGAACTAAACTTCACACTGCTACAAACACTGCACTGAACCCCAACTGCGCCACCCCACGGACGCCAGGAGAGCCGAGCGGAGCGCCTCACTTTGTCAGGGAGGCCGCTGAGGTCTGTGCGCACTTCCTCCTTCGAGCCAAACTTGGAGGTCTTGTAGCGGCGGATGATGTCTTGGAGCGTAGCCGCCACCACAAAGTACTCCTGCTTGAGGCGCAGTTCCTTGCCTTCAAAGAACTGAGCCAGATACACACGTCAGCCCAAAACCTGACCTTTAACCCCATGCAGAGGGCCAATCAGATGTGTACCCAGAGTTCGGGTCAGACATTTGCAAAGGCCGGTTGGAATGTTCACTCGGCAATAATGTGTAATATGTGAAATACAAGAAATGTAGACCGAGCAACATGATCATAGCACAAGCAACCAAGTCAGGTAGGCACTCACATTGTCATTGGGGTACAGCACACGGGAGATGTTCTCCGCCAAGTTTCTGTCCAGCACTGCCTGAATGTAGCCACCAACATTGACTGTAAAACGGAACATTCATGAGCTGTAAGTAAGGTCCATTTATAACGAATTGTAAACATTTGTTCTAGATATTTTCTTCACTCCGACTCATTCAGGGCTTGCCATTCAGTCATGACCTGCTAAGACCCATCACTGAATTCCACCCATCCACACAGTCCACGGTGTGCAACTCACAGTCCTTCAGGTTGAATTCACAGGGGGCCTTTGCAGACCACAACCTCATGGTGTTGACGACGTTGTTCCTGTAACCTGGAACCGGTGTGTCATAGGGCAAGGCCAAGACTACCTGTCAAGTTGAAGACTTGTTGAGGATGCACTGGGAACATGGCCGGGTGATCAGAAAATGCATCCCTGATGCTGCCAAGCCTCCTCACTTTGATTTGGCACTGACAAGCTCAGCAAACACATTTGTACCATATTTTTAACATCAAAAGTTGTCCACTGTTGAATGAACACAATGACAGATTAATTGAATTGACAATTGAATGAAAAACCCTTCGGACGCCTTCGAAGCCAGGGAGGTTCATCCAGAGCTTATTGCTCATTGCTGCTCCAAAGCAGCCACATAAATCATTAAATAGCATGCAGTATTTCAAGTGAAGTCTTCCTGTACCATGGTACAACCACAGCCTTTACCGATCGGATGCATAAATATGCAGAAGCGTTAGCTTGCCCTTTTGACGACAGAGTTACGCACACGCTCAGCCCAAAGAGATTTAAACAAATTGATAGCTAGAGCGCCTGCTTACATAATCTATCCATATTTTGATCCAGACTCAGACTGAGCTGCCGCAGACATCACAGAGCACAAAGCAAGGCAACACCCTAGACAGGCTGCGTTTTCACGGAACACACACATGCGCAGTTACACACTACGAGTGATTTTTAGGGATGCACAACAGTGTGCGCAAAATCTGCACGCAGAGCAGGGCTGCGATTCAAGCCTCCAAAGATAGAGACACAAGCTGCCAGTGGAAACCGCTATAAATACACAATTATTAATATAACTTAAGTAAATTTAGGTTGACTTCATATTTCCCAGAATGCCATGCACTTAACTCCTCCTTTCCTCCACCTCACCTGTGTATCCACCCATTTCACGCCATCAGGGTGGTGCTCCGTCCTGCCGTAGAAGTGAACGGGACGCATGTACTCAGGGCGGGCCTTCTCCCACGGGTTACCATAGCGCAACCAATCATCAGCCTCCTCTACCTGTCAATCATCGGGCAATGACGTCAAAGATTACATACGGGTTCCCCCAAACTGCTGGATTCTGGCACTTCAGGACTGGACTTGGGGAATCTGGATCTACATAGTAAGCAGCATTTGGGCAAAATATGTAAAACCACACTGAATGATACCTGCCAAAGAGCAGGACAGACTTAACCTAGGAATCTGTTGCTTGTACCACAGTCTTTGTGTAGCCTTGAAATATGGCACAGAGAAACTTAGGGGCTTCAGGAAGCCCATGGATTGGCTGGGGTTTAGGTCTTCCGACCAATCATCTCACAGAACTCTGTATTAACGGTGTCACCACGGCACCCCCCCAGTTACCTGCCAGCCGCTGACAATCTTCTGGTTGAAGATGCCAAACTCGTAGCGGATTCCATAGCCATAGGCAGCGAGACCCAGGGTGGCCATAGAGTCGAGAAAGCAGGCTGATGGAGAGAGGAGAAGGGTCACCAACCACCACTCCACCCAGACCACCATCAGTCCATCAATAAAGGGTTTCTCCATGGAGGAGACTCACCAGCGAGACGCCCAAGGCCACCGTTTCCCAAACCAGCGTCCTCCTCCATGTCCTCTAGCTCTTCCATGTCCAAACCAAGCTAGAGGAGACTGCGTGTTATATTCCCTTGGGAAGTGTCACAGAACCCCAGTCCAGCCTTCATAACTCTGTTGAGTAATTCGTCACGCAGCATTCTGGACTAAATTAGCGCTACGATCACGGCCAGGAAGGATTCTGTACAGGACTGGCAGTGCTTAGGTGTTCAGCAAAATAGGCAACTTAAACTCAGGGCAGCAAATGCTTCACTCTGTTCATTCATATTTTGAAGTAATATGCCCAGTTCCCATCGGAACCCAGAAACGGAAATCTCAATGATAACAATAATAACAATAATAACAATAATAATAACAATAATAATAATAATATTATCAACAAATTTATTGTTGCAGTTATTGTTATTCACAACAACAACAACAACAACAACTACAACTTTAGGGATTGACAACTGGCACACAAGTACACACTTCTATAATGGTTAAAATGCACAATTTGTCATAATAGTGCCAAAGCACACAAAATAAGTACACATTTCATCTGCCATGACATTTCCTCACATTATAACATTAGTACCACTAATGGGTACCAGTTCTGTCATTCCCTGATGACTGTACAGGCCTTTGAGGGGTGTATCCATGACAACAGGGATTGCTGTTGATTGGCTGGATACGCTTCTCGGGGGGCCTTACCTGATAGGTGGCCTCGTCACAGGCGTTCTCCAAAGCCAGGTTGACCATGGTGTTCTGCAGGGTGCGGCCCATGTAGAACTCCAGCGAGAGATAGTACACGCGCTGCAAACGGGAGTGCAGACCTTCAGAACCTCAGCATTCCCCACTGCCTGCGGTTCCCCGCATCACCCAGCTTACTCCACCCTCCGAAATGAGAGGAAAGACCATTCCAGAAATCTGAGAGTCTCAAGATGACTAAAATTTTCACACCTATGCAGTTTGCAGCTGGTACATTTTGGGATCAGAGCACAATTAGCCTGCACCTCTCACCTCGGAATTCCGGGCTGGAGGGGAAAATGGAACCGGAAAAAATGCTCAGAGACCTGGAATTCCATGGTAACAGTAGGAGCCCCCATACAAAGCAGGGTACTGCTTGTAATAATTATACTGCTTTGCCTTTTGCAGTGAGCAACGGCGCTGCTTTGTGGGGGCCTGAGGCACGTTGTGATTCTCCCAGTCCTGATTAACATTTCTGTACTCTGCATGGCCACACAGCGTTAAAGAGGGTTTATTTTCCCCTCTTAAACAAGGGTTCATGCCAGGGCCGAATTTAGCTCATGGGATGTTCTGAGGGCGGAAGGAAAAATGATTGGTTCAGAGAGATAACTAATCAGATTGTAGAGGAGTTGGGACCAACCAATCAGACATCTTGGATGCACCTCCTCTACAACCTGATTGGTTCTCAGAACCAGTCATTTTTCCATCTGCCCTCAAAACATTTTACATGTAAGCAAAACTTCCACAAGGCCGAATTTAGCCCTTGAGTTAGTCATTATTGGGGCCCAACCTATAGCCCCCGACAGATCAGGGCGCTGGCGAACAGCCCAGGTCGGCCCATCACGCCTTGGTTCACGTCACCTTCAAACGTCACACGCCGGAGCCACCATAGTCTGACATTACATTCTAATTATGTCTTGTTCTTCACTTGAAGGAAGTTTGTTCTTGACAGTAAAGCAGAAAGCAAGCATTTGGCAGAAAGCAGAGAGGAGAGAGAGAGATCAACAGAACTTCAGTAGATCTAGATGGGTTTCCAACTCTGGCATTAGTGAGATTTTACCATTTCGGCCAATGGGGTAACCGCAACACTATAACCTGATCGAGTACATAAACAAAGCAAAAGTACAGCCCTGAGTCCCCCTGAGGAATTCCCAGAGACAAGGTTAGGGTTAGCTTACATCTCATTTCTTTGTAAAGGTCGGGGACACTGGATCTAATCTGTGAGCTTTGACATTTCAGGTTTTGTCCGTAGGCATTCAGATGAAGCCGGACGGAAACGGAGGGGCGAGGAAATGGGGGGGGGGGGGTCACGGGGATTGTGTGACTGCGCCATTTGGGCTCGGCTAAAAACAGAAGTGTGGGGTCGCGTGCAAAGGTTAGGCAGCCTGTATGAACGGCGAGGTCGGCCCCCCTTGTCTAGAAAAAGGTGCTGGAAGTGGCCACATGCTACCCAAACTGAAGCAGGGAGCACAGCTTCAGCCCACGTTTCCCACGAGACACTGGGGTCAACTTCCCTCAGATGACAAAACTTTTCTTCCCTAGATGGGAGTTTCTCAAAGCCCGCCGTTCAAAATGTGAACGAGACGCTATCACCAGTCTTGTATATTTCAATATTTATGTCTACATGGTCAAATGTCTATATGTAATGTAGTGCCGTTAGGTCAATGAAGTTTTTACAAACGACAGAAACATCTTACTGCATTTTTAAAATTACAAGAAGGAGAAATGTACTGGGGAAAGACAGCAAGTAGATACAGAGTCGCTACAATGTGTATCCCTGATAGAACAGCAATTCATTTACGGGGACAAACTGATATCCCAGTATCATCCCTGAAATTCCATAGATGTAAAAAAAAATAATAAGAAATAAATAATAATAATGATTTTGGTGGGGGGGGGGGGGTGGTACTTTTTTAGTGAATTGACATTTTATAATGGGTAGCAGTCCCCCCCCCCACCCCAGTCAAAAATTATCTTGGAAAGACTCCCAACAGCTGCAGCTAGGAAAACATGGGACATGAATATACTTCAGCTGCGGTGAATTACAGAGTAATATGTGGTGGCACATTTGTGCAGGGGGACCAAGAGACCCCGACCCACCATAAAGAACGAAAGGGACGCGGGGAATTGCTCACAGAGCCAAGGCGTCAAAGGCTGGCGTAGTGGGGTCCTCTTTAAGCGCAGGCGCTACATCAGTGTCTGGGCCTATCACAACATGTCGGAGCTCAAATACAGCAAACAACTGGCAGCTGAAGAAAACTGACGGGACACGACCACCTCATTACCCGAGCGTCTGTCAGCACAGTCAGCGGCATTTGGGTGCCCTGGGTCACAGGCAGAGAAGAGGAAAGGGGATACTGGCTAAAGCATCCGGCCGAAAATGCAGGTTCCATCCATCCATACTCAGCATTTCTGGGGGACTGATTCATAGCACAGGATCCACCAACCAAAACAGGCAAAAAGGCTCTGCATTATATAACAGGATTCATTTTAGGTCTCGTGAATGTTCCTTTGCTGTTATATATGAAGATGTGTCTTAATGCACTACTTCCGTACTGCATATAGCATGACAAAATGTGGATTTTTATTTATGCAATGTGCAATATTTATTTAAATGCAAAACATTATGTAAAACAAAGACTGAGTTCTGCTCCCCAGCTCAAAACACCTTCAGAGCTGCAGCTATAGCAACAGAGTGAGATGTACCATTTATTTGGCAGACGGCTGTTCACTTTGATCCAAGCAGTTGAAAAACGATGACATGATGACATAAAATACGTGGAGAAAAACGGAAGTCAGCAAAGAAATGCCAGAGATTTACCTCCTTTACAGCAGAAGAAGCCAAAATAGCTTTCTGGGGGTAGCCAGTAAAATATGTGTTTATTTTTTTAAAAACGACTTTTGAAAATCTACCTTAGAATGGTACCACAGAAAATGCAATAAGCTGTGTGTCGTTAAAGCAAATATTGCAACAAAAAAAATGCACTGTGGACAGGTTAGAATTTATGCTGAAATCAGTTGCATGAATGACTACATTCTTTTGGGTTATTCAATGGAATGAGCATTCAGATATATACTTAACATGGGAGAGTAAATGGTAACACTACTTGACTGATGTATCATGATTCATTAAGGATGAACAAACATGAGATCAGTATTTCATTTGTGTTGCTCGTTGTTTTTTCCTTCAGTGGTTCAAAGGTTTACAGAATTAATAGATATACTAACAAATATAGTAACTGCTTGAGATAAAACAAGCGTGATGATTCATTAATGATGATTTAACATGAGATCAGTATATAACTAAGAGTTGGTTTGTGGTCAATTAATACATTAGTAATTATGTCTGCTCCGTCAACTGATGTGTTAGCAAGTAAATCGTTCCTCTGGGGATTAATCGATAGAATTCAGCAGATGGACTGAGGGGAACATTAAAAGGTCAGGGGTATTTTTAAATTTCAACTTCACATCGAGAGTAGCATCCCAATTTGATCTCGCATGAACCCCCCAGCTGTGTGACAGAAATGTCATGAACCCCCCAGTCGTGTGACAGAAATGTCATGGTATTAAATTTCATTCATACAGATGTTGCAAACATGTAAAGACAATGTTCCAGACTCCGTCACTTAAGGTTGACAGAGTCACTGACAACCATCTCCATTTTTTTTTAAAAAAGGAGATACATGTTAGATATTAGTTTTAAATGTATGTTTAATTATTCTTGCAAGTATTATTCTTGCAAGCAATTATTCTTGGTACGAGGCTGAACTGCACAACTCGCATCCTTAAAAAACGGGGGATTCGTATGTCCAAAAATAACGGCTAGTTTATGATGTTTCTGAACAGTTCCGTGCTAAAATTACATATCACGTAGGCCTATATCCCAAATGCAAGATACCCAACATCTGAGAATCCCATTCAGCTAGGAAAAGAAATTGTTCATTTAACTTACATAATTTTAAAATAATACCCTTTGATTAATTCGAATAGGCCTACATTCTACCAAACAGCAAGGAAGTGATAACATCTAAAAGACGCGCAAAAAGTTACTCTCACAATATTTCAACGTCATGGAACCTGTTGCAAGAAACAGTCGCAGAACCTGCGGAAACTCAGCCAAGCTGAGCAAAACAGAAATACAGTGCCAAGTTCTAAAAGTATGACACCATCTGTACAAATAAACATACATGAATTGGCGACTGGATTTTTAGAGTAGCGCAAACTGGTACAAATCACTTTTGCACAATCGGATGCCGAAAGGATCTATGACACGCATCTCCCCAGCGATTATTAAAGATAAACGGTAGTTTGCAGACGACCGGCCAGTGTTTGGTTGATCACTGATCGCCGGACGGCGTTTTCTGCGCCGTGGCTTACCTTGGGGTCTCTTTCATAGTAGTACTGCTGCGTGCGGATCCACCTGCCCACCAAGTGGTCGCGGACGGTGTTCGCCAGGGCGAAGTAGTAATCCCGCCGGGTGGCCACATTGCGGTCCTTGACCAGCGTGAAATGCAGGTGCCGGTTGAAGCTGCTCTTGATCTCCGTCACATTCTCCACACCGGCCAGTCCTCGCACCGAGATCTGCTTCCTTTTCTCCTGATCCGATAGCGGTCGTGACATTTCGGCGGCCGGCTGAGGCTGAGGCTGAGGCTGGGGCTGGAAGAGTGCGGACAGTTGCTGCGGCAGTCACTCCGCAGCTGGGAAAGCAAGCCCGCCCCCCCGCATCTCCGACTTTAAGGACGCCGTCACTCCTCTCGGGTTCAGGGCGGGGTTTCCCCATATCTGGAGCCAATTGACTTTCAGCGAAGGTCATTCTACAGCCCCTTTAAAAGCCGGCCGCACGCGTCCAACGGACCTCCGGGCACGTTCGCTGGAAGTTAGCGATGCTATTTCCATTTGAAAAGCACTCTTACACACTTGACAATGCTATAAACTAAGAACTTGGAAAGGCCCTCTTAAAAGACCAGATGTTAACTTTTCGTCGACTATCCCAAATTAAATGCAAGCAAATATCTTCAATGTAAAAATAGGTTTCAATAAAACCGTGCATGGAGTGGTCCGACGGCTACCAGCAGTCGACATTACAACTATTTAACTGTCCCGTGTAAGATGATCAATGAGCTATTAATAGCAGCTTTGACTATCTTCCAAATGTTTCCAAATGCCTTCCCTGCCCGCCGCACTTACCAGCAAAACACGAAAATTCTTTAGTCGGAATTAAACCCGCAGAAATACGTTAAAACACCGAGGACTAAGTTCTTGCGTGCATATGGAACTGTCCAATTGAGGGCAAGTAATGAGCCATGTACTGAAATAATTTTAAACCTGATACCGATCCGGCTGTAGAGGTTAAATGACTAGTCTGAACGCATGTTGAGATCCGCTTCAGGGTCCCGCTCGGCGAAATGTATCCCCCCCCCCCCGCATAATCTACCGAGACCGACCTATTGGTAGGCCGCCAGACCACCCATGAAATGTATTTCTGGCTACAGGCCTGCTGGAAATGAGAACACTGATTGGTGGCCAATCCTACCTGCAAAATGGCCAGTGTGAACGCAGGCTTTTCAGATAACCTTCAAATTAGCTGGTCAAACCCAAGTGCGAGGACTCTTTAGCTAATAAGTCCCTTAATTAGAGAGTTGAGGCAAAATCCCACACAAACGGCCCTTTCTGGATAAGACTGTTCACCCCTGATGTAGAGGCGGTGCTGTCAGGATTATCATAAGAACACTTGGTTAGGATAAAATTGACCATCTTATCACAAGAAATGACACCCTCGAATGTTTTCAAACCTTAAGTAAATCGACTTACCCCTAACAAAGGCTGTAAAATAATTCAGCCAGGAAATGGGTACGGCCACACAAAAGCAGCAGACGTGTTCTACAAAACACACAGTTTACATGTGCTCGACAGCCTTTATTGTGGAAAGAAATGAAAAAATTCAGGGAGTAGAGACTTCACATGGGAGGTAAAGGTTAGTGTTTAAAGCACAACGCTTCAGCGCCTCCCCTAAGGACCGGCGTGACTGCAGGCGCCTTAATCTTTAGGGTAGAACCTGAATGCCGACAATCATAACCCCTGGGATCAATTATTCTAACCAAGTGAAGACTAACAAAAGCAAGCACAAAAGGTAAGAATGTATGCACAAGACAATGGGGAAAAAAACAACAGCTTACAAAGCTTTCAACTGCAAACTGTAATTAACATTTTACAATCAAGGGCACAACATGAAGAGCATCACAGCAGGATTCATGTGAAGAGACAATACAGCTTGATAAAGGACAAAATATACACGACTTTCTACCAAGTGGAGGAGAGTCTCTGTTCAGCGGTTCATCTCTCCAGCTGTTCTAAGCATAAATCTATAGCCAGTAGAAAGGCAATCTTTTCGTCCAGCAAATCTTAAAAAAAAAAAAAAACAAAAAACAAAAAAAAAAACCAACAGGGAATCCCGTGGCTCATTTTCAACAGCTCTGTGGCTTGGAACACTGCCCTGCAAATTTGTCCATGGTATCTGTAATGGTTACCACCAATAAGTGCAGGAGTGGGACTCGATCGGTGTGCTCGAGAGGAGTGCTGCAAATTGAGTTAGGAGTCGGAAAGAAGCTTCAACTTACAGCTAGCCTT